GCTTTAAGAAGTAGTAAAAAAGCCGTACCAAATAAAGCCTAAATCTCATATATCTAATCATATTTGCTTCCAAAACTTCTCAACAACTCATCTCTTCTTCCACTAAATGTTGGTCTCAAACTAAGGAAGTTGAGATAATTTCATCAGAACCAGATGAAATAGCTGCCATTGACTTCTCATTGTCCTCACCATTCACACTGAAATGATCGACCCATGATTCATCAAAGAGCCTTTCGATGTCATCAATGAGTTCTCCAATGTCATTGATGAGTCCTCCAACATGATCATCAGATACATTAAAGTCAAAGAACAAATCAGAGATGGAGAAGGTTTCATAGCTCGAGCCCATTCGCGAGCCGCTCCACGAGAGTTCGTTATTGTCATCAACCATCGCCATTGTTCCACCAAAGGAACAAGTTGGATTAGAGAGCGTTATGGGATGAACTAAGTTTTGATGTTGTGAGGGTAGTGGCAACGGTTCTGATGACAGTGTTCGAACCTCCGTGTATTGATTGATGTTGAAATTGGTCACCGCTCGAGAGCCACGATAAATCAATGCAGCACGATCGTAAGCTTGTGCCGCCTCTTCTTCATTATCTTTTTTTTTTAGCAAATTTGGGAGGAAATGAATAATATGAGTCTAATCGATAATGGTTAATATAAATATTATTATATGATCAAAGTAATATTATTTTTAAAATAACAATGAACCAATCATCAAAAGCTTTATATCGATAACCGCTAGAGAACCATGATAAACCAATGCATCATGATCGTAAGCTATATCTGACTATGTGGGGTCACATAAAATGGCGGACTTCCGATGACCCGGTTAAGAAAGTAGTTGTATTAGATTTTTTTTTTTTAAGTTGTATTAGATTTGACTTATGTTAAAAAAGAAAGAGATAGATCTAAAAAGACTTGGCTAGAAAATATTAGAACTGACCTTTCATTATTAGATTCAGATGATAATATGATTCTTAACATGATGCAATGGGGAGAAATGATTCATATAGCCGACCCCATAGTGTGATAAAGGTTTTTTGTTATTATTGTTGTATTAATTTTGGAACATTAAACTTTAAAAATTAAAATGTTCAAACCATTTAATAATTCAATTTAATTAAATTAGAATTTATTTTTGTTTGATGCATCAATCAAATATTTAGAATATATATATAAATTACACCCTTTTTTATTTTTATTAGGCCATCAAAATAAAATAAGCTCGAATTTAAATTTAAATGATAAATGCAGAAAAACATATATATGCTACCTTGATAGGAAACAGGAGACCTTAACGTAGGAAAGGACAGGGAGAACTCCCACCGGTGAAGGGCTGAAGGCAAATATATATATATAAGAGAAATAGAAAAAGTGAATATTTGAATAAATAGGGCTTTTAAAAAAGAAAAATTAGATGCCTTGCTACTCCGCGATACTTGGAGGCTCCGCGGGAGAATCCACTGCTCCGGCGGCGCAACGAAGCTAAATAGTCCTCCTTCGACATCGCCTGCATTTCCTTGTAGTCATCGTCGTAATTCGCCACCTGCAATTCTCCCAGAATATTAACAGAAATCCCCAAAATAAACTGAAAATTGCAAAAAAAAAATGAATATTACAGGAAAATTAAGGGTTGTATCAATTCCCCAGTACTTCAGAGCAGCAAGGTCGTAGTTTCGAGCTGCACTCTCTTCAGTGTCGTAAGCTCCTGTAAGATCAAACAGGTAGCTCATTGTTTAAATACTTCCTAATCTCTTTCATTGATCTTGCAGTAATTATAATGAAAAGCTCTCTCTCTGCTCACCTAAGTACACTGGAAGAAGATCGGAGAAGAAGATTTCGTCGGCAGGAATCAGAGAAGAAGAGAGTGAAGAGTGAGAAGAACGAATAAATGAAAACAAAAGGAATAAAAATGCCATCTTTGGCGGTTCAGTCTTTAAGCTGCTTCAATTACCTTGTCTTCCTTTCTTGTTTTGGGATTTATTCAAGTAGTTCTTGTCCCAGATATGAGCTTCATACCTCCCAGTCAATTTATGCCTGCTCAACATAGGAAGAAGAAGAAGAAGAAGAATCAAAAGCAGGGGATTCAGATAAAAAAGGTGGCGCCTTTCATACGTTTTTGGATTGCAAACCTGGTTACTCCTCTGTAAATGGAGCTCCTTTTGGCGCTGCGGCTAGCCGATGGGAGGTCGCCGGAGCTTTTCCGTCGACGGCGGCGACCACTGGCTTTGAAAATCTTAGTGTTAGTAGAATGAGGAGAAGAAATCACCATCTTAAAGAGAATCTCTTCTAGATTCCTTTTTTTTGGAAGGTAGGAAGGAGAATTTATAGAGGGACAGGAAGACAGGAAGAGAGAGATATTGGACAGAGTCACGTTGTATCTAGATATGGGAAAATTCGGACATCAATTCAGATGCGTCACGTCATCAAGATACAATCGGGGTTCAATATATCGGAGTGATGTGACGCGTCTGAATTGATGTCCGGCCGGTTGACGTAATAATTCGCCCTAGATATGAAGGTCTGTTCGAATTTAGTGTTTGATGAGAAAATTTAAGTAAATATATTATAATTTAAATTTCATGTATCAAACAAATTTTGTAATTATGAAATTTATTGTAAGATAAGTATGCCATATAATTAAATAAATTCAAAATAATTTAGTTGATTATTTCACCATAAGTATTTAAATTATAATAATAAAATAGTCTTATTGAAATCAATTCTGATGATATTCATTTCGTAAAAAATAATTTTCATGAACTTAATTTATATATTAATTTTTCTATATTCAAAATACATTGCTATTATTATAAATAAAAAATACAATTTAATTTAAGAGAAGTGCCATATTATTCCACTCATATTATTAAAAAATCATTGTGTAGTTGAAATATAAAAAAAATTAACATAACGCATAATTATA